GGTGAATAGGTGAGTGGGTGGGTGGGTGAATGGGTGGATGAGTGGACGGATGAGTCGTTCAGTGAGCGATTGGGTGAGTGGGTGGGTGGGTAAGTAGGTGAGTGAGTGGATGAGTGGGTGGGTGAATAGGTGAGTGGGTGGGTGGATGAGTGAGTGGGTGGGTGAATGGATGAGTGGGTGAGTGAGTGGTTGCTTGAGTGGGTAGGTGGGTGAGTAGGTGAGTGACTGAGTGGGTGAGTGAGTGAATGGGTGAATGGGTGAGTGGGTGGGTCGGTGAGTGGATGAGTGAGTGAGTGGATGAGTGAGTGAGTGGGTGGGTGGATGGGTGAATGGGTGAGTGGGTGGGTGGGTGGGTGAGTGGGTGGGTGGGTGAATGGGTGAGTGGGTGAGTGAGTGGGTGAGTGAGTGAGTGAGTGGGTAAGTGAGTGGGTGGGTGAGTGAGTGAATAGGTGAATAGGTGAATGGGTGAGTGGATGAGTGAGCGAGATGATGAGTGAGTGGATAAGTACGTGAGTGGATGAGTGAGTGAGTGAGTGGGTGAGTGAGTATGCGAATGGGTGGGTAGGTGAATGGGAGAGTGAGTAGGTGAATGTGTGGATGAGTGATGGAAGAGTGGTTAAGTGAGTGGTTTTGTGAGTTGGTGGGTGGGTGGGTGAGTAAATTAGTGACTGAGTGGGTGAGTGAGTGAGTGAGTGAATGGGTGAGTGGGTGGGTGGGTAAGTAGGTGAGTGAGTGGATGAGTGGGTGGGTGAATAGGTGAGTGGGTGGGTAGATAAGTGAGTGGGTGGGTGAATGGATGAGTGGGTGAGTGAGTGGTTGCTTGAGTGGGTAGGTGGGTGAGTAGGTGAGTGACTGAGTGGGTGAGTGAGTGAATGGGTGAATGGGTGGGTCGGTGAGTGGATGAGTGAGTGGATGAGTGAGTGAGTGGGTGGGTGGATGGGTGAATGGGTGAGTGGGTGGGTGGGGTGGGTGAGTGGGTGGGTGGGTGAATGGGTGGATGAGTGGACGGATGAGTGGTTCAGTGGGCGATTGGTAGAGTGGGTGGGTGGGTGGGTGGTGGGTAAGTAGGTGAGTGAGTGGATGAGTGAGTGAGTGGGTGAGTGAGTGGGTGGGTGGGTGAGTGGGTGGGTGGGTGAGTGGTGGGTAAGAAGGTGAGTGAGTGGGGTGAGTGAGTTAATGGGTGAATGGGTGAGTGGGTGGGTCGGTTAGTGGATGAGTGAGTGAGTGGATGAGTGAGTGAGTGGGTGGTTGGGTGGATGGGTGGGTGAATGGGTGAGTGGGTGGGTCGGTGAGTGGATGAGTGAGTGAGTGGATGAGTGAGTGGGTGAGTGAGTGGGTGGTTGGGTGGGTGGGTGAATGGGTGAGTGGGTGGATGGGTGAATGGGTGAGTGGATGGGTGGGTGAGTGGGTGGGTGGGTGAATGGGTGGATGAGTGGATGGCTGAGTGGTTAAGTTAACGGTTGGGTGAGTGGGTAGGTGGTTTGGTGAATGGGTGGGTGGGTGGGTGAGTGGGTGGGTGGGTGGGTGAGTGGGTGGGTGGGTGAGTGGGTGGGTGGGTGAGTGGGTGAGTGGGTGAGTGAGTGGATGAGTGGGTGAGTGAGTGGGTGGGTGAATAGGTGAGTGGGTTGGTGGGTGAATGGGTGGATGAGTGGACGGATGAGTCGTTCAGTGAGCGATTGGGTGAGTGGGTGGGTGGGTAAGTAGGTGAGTGAGTGGATGAGTGGGTGGGTGAATAGGTGAGTGGGTGGGTAGATAAGTGAGTGGGTGGGTGAATGGATGAGTGGGTGAGTGAGTGGTTGCTTGAGTGGGTAGGTGGGTGAGTAGGTGAGTGACTGAGTGGGTGAGTGAGTGAATGGGTGAATGGGTGAGTGGGTGGGTCGGTGAGTGGATGAGTGAGTGAGTGGATGAGTGAGTGAGTGGGTGGGTGGATGGGTGAATGGGTGAGTGGGTGGGTGGGTGAGTGGGTGGGTGGGTGAATGGGTGGATGAGTGGATGGACGAGTGGTTCAGTGGGCGATTGATAGAGTGGGTGGGTGGGTAAGTAGGTGAGTGAGTGGATGAGTCAGTGAGTGGGTGAGTGAGTGGGTGGGTGGGTGAGTGGGTGGGTGGGTGAGTGGTGGGTAAGTAGGTGAGTGAGTGGGTGAGTGAGTGAATGGGTGAGTGGGTGGGTGGGTGAGTGGATGAGTGAGTGAGTGGATGAGTGAGTGAGTGGGTGGTTGGGTGGATGGGTGGGTGAATGGGTGAGTGGGTGGGTCGGTGAGTGGATGAGTGAGTGAGTGGATGAGTGAGTGAGTGGGTGAGTGAGTGGGTGGTTGGGTGGGTGGGTGAATGGGTGAGTGGGTGGATGGGTGAATGGGTGAGTGGATGGGTGGGTGAGTGGGTGGGTGGGTGAATGGGTGGATGAGTGGATGGCTGAGTGGTTAAGTTAACGGTTGGGTGAGTGGGTAGGTGGTTGGGTGAGTGGGTGGGTGGGTGAGTGGGTGGGTGGGTGAGTGGGTGGGTGGGTGAGTGGCTGAGTGGGTGAGTGAGTGGATGAGTGGGTGAGTGAGTGGGTTGGTGAAAAGGTGAGTGGGTGGGTGGGTGAATGGGTGGATGAGTGGACGGATGAGTCGTTCAGTGAGCATTTGGGTGAGTGGGTGGGTGGGTAAGTAGGTGAGTGAGTGGATGAGTGGGTGGGTGAATGGTGAGTGGGTGGGTGGATGAGTGAGTGGGTGGGTGAATGGATGAGTGGGTGAGTGAGTGGTTGCTTGAGTGGGTAGGTGGGTGAGTAGGTGAGTGACTGAGTGGGTGAGTGAGTGAATGGGTGAATGGGTGAGTGGGTGGGTCGGTGAGTGGATGAGTGAGTGAGTGGATGAGTGAGTGAGTGGATGAGTGAGTGAGTGGGTGGGTGGATGGGTGAATGGGTGAGTGGGTGGGTGGGTGGGTGAGTGGGTGGGTGGGTGAATGGGTGAGTGGGTGAGTGAGTGAGTGGGTAAGTGAGTGGGTGGGTGAGTGAGTGAATAGGTGAATAGGTGAATGGGTGAATGGCAGAGTGAGCGAGATGATGAGTGAGTGGATAAGTACGTGAGTGGATGAGTGAGTGAGTGAGTGGGTGAGTGAGTATGCGAATGGGTGGGTAGGTGAATGGGAGAGTGAGTAGGTGAATGTGTGGATGAGTGATGGAAGAGTGGTTAAGTGAGTGGTTTTGTGAGTTGGTGGGTGGGTGGGTGAGTAAATTAGTGACTGAGTGGGTGAGTGAGTGAGTGAATGGGTGAGTGGGTGGGTGGGAGGGTGAGTGGGTGGGTGGGAGGGTGAGTGGGTGGGTGGGAGGGTGTGTGTATGAGTGAGTGGATGGGTGGGTGGGTCAGTTGATGGGTGGGTGAGTGGGTGAGTATGTGAGTGACTGACTGGGTGACTGGGTAAGTGAGTGAATTGGTGAATGGGTGAGTGGGTGGCTGGGTAAGTGGATGAGTGATTGTGTGAGGGGATGAGTCAGTGAGTGGATGAGTGAGTGGGTGAGTGAGTGGGTGAGTCGGTGACTGAGTTAGTGAGTGGTTGGATGAATAGGTGAGTAGGTGAGTGGATGAGTGAGTGAGTGGATAAGTGAGTGAGTGGATGAGTGAGTGAATGGTTCAATGGGTGAGTGGGTGAGTGGATGATTGAGTGAGTGAATGAGTCAGTGAGTGAATGGGTGAATGAGTGAGTGGGTTTGTGACTGGATGAGTGAGTGAGTGGATGAGTGAGTGGGTGGGTGAGGTGAGTGACTGAGTAGGTGAGTGACTGAGTGGGTGAGTGAGTGAATGGTGAAGCGGTGGGTGAGTGGATGAGTGAATGAGTGAGTTGATGAGTGAGTGAGTGAGTAACTGGGTGAGTTCGTGGGTGGGTGAATAGGTGAGTGGGTGGGTGGGTGAATGGGTGGATGAGTGGACGGATGAGTCGTTGAGTGAGCGATTGGGTGAGTGGGTGGTTAAGTAGGTGAGTGAGTGGATGAGTGGGTGGGTGGGTGAGTGGGTGGGTGGATGAGTGAGTGGGTGGGTGGGTCGGTGAGTGGATGATTGAGTGAGTGAGTGGATGAGTGAGTTAATGGGTGAGTGGGTGGGTGAATGGGCGAGTGGGTGGGTGGGTGAATGGGTGAATGGGTGAATGGGTGGGTGGGTGAGTGGGTGGGTGGGTGAATGGGTGGATGAGTGGATGGATGAGTGGTTAAGTGAGCGGTTGGGTGAGTGGGTAGTTGGGTGAGTGGGTGGGTGAGTAGGTGAGTGACTGAGTGGGTGAGTGAGTGAATAAGTGGGTGGCTAGGTGAATGGGTAAGTGGTTGAGTGAGTTGATTAGCGAGTGAGTGGATGAGTGAGTGAGCGGATGAGTAAGTGGATAAGTGAGTGAGTGATTGGGTGGGTGAATGGGTGAGTGAGTAGGTGAATGAGTGGATGGAAGAGTGGTTAAGTGAGTGGTTTTGTGAGTTGGTGGGTGGGTGAGTAAATTAGTGACTGAGTGGGTGATTGAGTGAGTAAATGCGTGAATGGGTGAGTGGGTGAGTGGGTGGGAGGGTGAGTGGATGGGTGGGTGGGTGAGTTGATGGGTGGGTGAGTGGGTGAGTATGTGAGTGACTGACTGGGTGAGTGGGTGAGTGACTGACTTGGTGAATGGGTGAGTGGGTGGCTGGGTAAGTGGATGAGTGATTGAGTGAGTGGGTGAGTCGGTGAGTGAGTGGGTGAGTGGATGAGTGAGTGGGTGGATGCATAGATGAGTAGGTGGGTGAGTGGGTGGTTGAATGAGTGAGTGGATAAGTGAGTGAGTAGATGAGTGAGTGGGTGATTGAGTGGGTGGGTGGATGGATGAGTGGGTGAGTGAATGCTCGAGTGAGTGGGTAGGTGGGTGAGTCGGTGAGTGACTTAGTGGATGAGAGAGTGAGTTGGTGAGTGGGTGGGTGGGTGAATGAGTGGGCGTATTACTTTTAAATAATATGCTTGCAGTATTGGTACTAATAATAGTAGCAGCGGCAGAAGCAAATCATAATCTTACACATAACGTGGTACCACGCGTATCGATGGTAGTAGTACACGTCCCCGGCGTCGGTTCTCGCCCACGCGTAGAGGTCTCCGCTCGACGTTGCGGCACCCCGTCCTCGGCCACCGGTCGATATCTGATCAAACATCGCCCCCATCGATCTCCAAGAACAACCGGACCAGATGCTGACGTCTCTGTTGCTCCCAACGCCGATGAGGATCCCTCCGGGGGATGCCGAAACGTCCTTGAACTTGTTGCTGAATGGAGTAGAGCAGACCATGGCGGCTGTGGGGAGATAAAGATGGGTGGGCGGGTGCATGAGTGAGCGGGTTAGTGAGTGGGTGATTGGATGGATGAGTGGTTAAGTGAACGGTTGGGTGAGTGGGTGGCACCTTCACCTCCATCACCACCCCCACCATCATCATCGTCACTACCATCACCAGCACACTCACCATCAACCTCTGTTGTAAAGATGACGAAAGATCCCACCATCATCATCACCACCACCATCGCCACCATCATCACGACCTCAAGATGATGTTTCAGAAGGGGCTAGCCAGCTGAGTGATGGGAATGCTATCGATGTTCTAGAAGGGCTAGAGAATATCCAGACTTATATAGATCCTTGAAATGCATGTAAATATATGTTAACTGTTTCTGTTCATACTGAGTAAATATTAACAATCGAACCAAGGTATCCAATAGCGCTTGTACACATAGACATTTGAACCTACACACACGTAAGAATACAAACAAAGACAAATATCCCCCGTATTGCCTTAACAGACTAAGGGGTTAAGTGCTGTTAGCGAGTAGCAGCTGCCTCTGAAGGCTACCCGCACTGTGGCACACACAGAGGGGGTGGGTGGGTGGCCAGCACTACGCACGTCCGGCCGCCTTTGTCTTCCCAGTGGCGATGTTTACTACAGCACCACTGCATGGAGAGGCTGAGTCGACTTAGGGGATGCCCGGTACAAATTCAGATAACACTGTGTATCAAAAAAAATTGTTCTTGGGTAGCAAGTGTTGTTTCCTAATTGCTTATGCCTCGAAAGTATAGAAAATGGCTATTATTGCCAACAAATCAAGCTTTTGTGACCAGGACATTGATCTTTTGAAATGTACATATTTTCAATGAGAAAACGGGCGAAATTGTGTCTTTTCGTTCACACAGAGTCAGAAAAAAATTACATATTAATCAAAATTAACATCTATTTATACTAAAGCAATACAAAAATGACTACAAAATATATATTAGACACCAAGACGCACGACCACAGGCGGGACAGGCCACGACGGACCGATTTCTTTGTGGTGGAACAATCTCGAAAAACGACTCAATTCTAAATATTTTGTAGTAATTTTCTATACTTTTTAGGCATAGGCGATTACGAAATAACATTTAGTACCCAGGAACAAACATTGTGTTACACAGCGTAATCATCAACGCACCGGTGCTGGCTGTGATCGGGAATCGAACTCAAAGTCGCCGGATTCGTAGCGCGGTGCGGCGCTAACCGCGAATACACCACCACTCCCACCACGGTGAGTGTGGTGAGTACAGTGAGTGAGGTGAGTACAGTGGGTGTGGTGAGTACAGTGAGTGTGGTGAGTACAGTGAGTGAGGTGAGTACAGTGAGTGTGGTGAGTACAGTGAGTGTGGTGAGTACAGTGAGTGTGGTGAGTACAGTGGGTGTGGTGAGTACAGTGAGTGTGGTGAGTACAGTGGGTGTGGTGAGTACAGTGAGTGTTCCTGACGGTGAGTACAGTGATTGTGGTGAGGTGAGGTACAGTGAGTGTGGTGAGTACAGTGAGTGTTGGTGAGTACAGTGAGTGTGGTGAGTACAGTGGGTGTGGTGAGTACAGTGATTATGGTGAGTACAGTGGGTGTGGTGAGTACAGTGAGTGTGGTGAGTACAGTGGGTGAGGTGAGTACAGTGAGTGTGGTGAGTACAGTGAGTGTGGTGAGTACAGTGATGTGGTGAGTACAGTGAGTGAGGTGAGTACAGTGAGTGTGGTGAGTACAGTGAGTGTGGTGAGTACAGTGAGTGTGGTGAGTACAGTGGGTTGTGGTGAGTACAGTGAGTGTGGTGAGTACAGTGAGGTGGTGGTGAGTACAGTGAGTGAGGTGAGTACAGTGGGTGTGGTGAGTACAGTGAGTGTGGTGAGTACAGTGAGTATGGTGAGTACAGTGGGTGTGGTGAGTGTGGTTAGTACAGTGAGTGTGGTGAGTACAGTGGGTGTGTGGTGAGTACAGTGAGTGAGGTGAGTAAGTGAGTGTGTGAGTACAGTGAGTTGTGGTGAGTACAGTGAGTGTGGTGAGTACAGTGAGTGTGGTGAGTACAGTGAGTGTGGTGAGTACAGTGAGTTGGTGAGTACAGTGAGTGTGGTGAGTACAGTGGGTGTGGTGAGTACAGTGAGTGTGGTGAGTACAGTGAGTGTGGTGAGTACAGTGAGTGTGGTGAGTACAGTGAGTGTGGTGAGTACAGTGGTGTGGTGAGTACAGTGAGTGTGGTGAGTACAGTGAGTGTGGTGAGTACAGTGAGTATGGTGAGTACAGTGGGTGTGGTGAGTGTGGTGAGTACAGTGAGTGTGGTGAGTACAGTGAGTGTGGTGAGTACAGTGGTGTGGTGAGTACAGGAGTGAGGTGAGTACAGTGAGTGAGGTGAGTACAGTGAGTGTGGTGAGTACAGTGAGTGTGGTGAGTACAGTGAGTGAGGTGAGTACAGTGAGTGTGGTGAGTACAGGAGTGGGTGAGTACAGTGAGTGTGGTGAGTACAGTGAGTGTGGTGAGTACGGAGTGTGGTGAGTAGAGGAGTGTGGTGAGTACAGTGGGTGTGGTGAGTACAGTGAGTGTGGTGAGTACAGGAGTGAGGTGAGTACGTGAGTGTGGTGAGTACAGTGAGTGTGGTGAGTACAGTGAGTGAGGTGAGTACAGTGAGTGTGGTGAGTACAGTGAGGTGGTGAGTACAGTGAGTGAGGTGAGTACAGTGAGTGTGGTGAGTACAGTGAGTGTGGTGAGTAGAGTGAGTGTGGTGAGTACAGTGAGTGAGGTGAGTACAGTGAGTGTGGTGAGTACAGTGAGTGTGGTGAGACAGTGAGTGAGGTGAGTACAGTGAGTGTGGTGAGTAGAGTGAGGTGGTGAGTACAGTAGTGAGGTGAGTACAGGAGTGTGGTGAGTACAGTGAGAGTGGTTGAGTACAGTGAGTTGTGGTGAGTACAGTGAGTGGTGAGTACAGTGAGTGAGGTGAGTACAGTGAATGTGGTGAGTACAGTGAGTGAGGTGAGTACAGTGAGTGAGGTGAGTACAGTGAGTGTGGTGAGTACAGTTAGTGAGGTGAGTACAGTGAGTGTGGTGAGTGTGATGAGTACGTGAGTGTGGTGAGTACAGTGAGTGAGGTGAGTACAGTGCGTGTAGTGAGTACAGTGGTGTGGTGAGTGCAGTGAGTGAGGTGAGTACAGTGAGTGTGGTGAGTACAGTGAGTGTGGTGAGTACAGTGAGTGTGGTTGGTACAGTGAGTGAGGTGAGTACAGTGAGTGTGGTGAGTACAGTGAGTGTGGTGAGTACAGTGAGGGTGTGTGAGTACAGTGGGTGTGGGTGAGTACAGTGAGTGTGGTGAGTACAGGAGTGTGGTGAGTACAGTGAGTGTGGTGAGTACAGTGAGTATGGTGAGTACAGTGGGT